GTGAGAGAAAAATCTTCAAGAAAATAGTCAAATGGTAGATAGGCACCCATTGGGAGGCCATATCTAGTGTGTGGTAGATCTCTCTGAGTCATAATAGAAGTTGGTAAGTCAGCATACTAATTAGCTTATATTAATTAGCTTCTTTAGCTCAACTCTATTGGTTTTATCATTCCAGCTCCATTCATACCTACATTGGTAATAATATAATGGTTTTTCCTTTGGGAAATGACTCTGCTCGAACTCTAAATTTTAGGTCCATGTGGTTACGGTCGTCTGATCCATCCCTCTAGCTCTAGAGATAACATTTGGACTATATCTGGCCTATCAGTGTATTGCAACCTTTCAAATAATTGACTTTCAGGAGCTGTGAGACCTAAGCCCAACCAATGAGAGTTGATTCTGGGATGCTTGGACTGGAATTATTGGACTGGAAGCCAGGAGGGTATACTAGTAAGCCTGGGTTTGCTGGGGACTATGAATGGAGAAGGCAGGTGTGTGCAAGGAGCTAAGACAGAGGAAAGTAGGGCAGAGATGGAGAACAATCAGGTCCTGGAGGATCTTTGAACCCTTTTATCCACCTCCCCTGAAGTTTTTCAGATACTTTTTTTGGTAAATGTTTGACCTTAAGCCACTTTGAATTGGGTTTCTGTTCTTATGAATAAAGGAGTTGTGTCTGCTATGTCTCTTTTGTGGCCTCTCATTTTTTCGTAAGAACCTACCATTGTGGCTCTGACTTCTGTAGATTTTCCCCACTCTCCTTATTTTATTATGTTAGTGTTATTTCCTTGGTATGTTTAATAAAGCCGTTTTTTTTATTATGGAGTATGAATCAGAAGGAGGTGCTCAGGGAGTGACTGTGCTCAGACTGAGGTCCCATGTTGGACCATTCGCTGGGAAACTGTCCCTGGGGCTTGAGGTGTTCAAGAGTCCAGAAAACCCCCTGGAAGGAAGGAAGTGCTCTGTACAAAGAAATTAGTATGGAGAACCTCAGTTGAGGAGATTAGCACCTGTGTTAACCCATACTGAGCAGCCTGTCAATCTGGTATCCAGCATAAGATGTGCCATTGATTGTAAACTTGAAAAATAGTAAAGGGCAGAGTGTGCTTAGGAAAAATGGTAGAAGCATTTAGCAATTTTCAGGGCAGAAATACTATATTACTAAATAGCTCTTAGAATAGAAAATAAATAAATGAATCCTATATAATAAAAGCCTAGTATGCTAAGTGTCCAGTCGTCCAGTGACCAGTCAACTGTTCAACCAATCAAAGTGTAATATGCTAATGATATGCTAAGGCCACTCAACCACTTGCTATGACATGCACTGACCACCATGGGGCAGACACTCTGACCAGTAGGTTAGCTTGCTGCTGGGGTTTGGCCAATTGGGACTGAGTGAGATGGGCTGGACACGACCTGGAGCCCTCCCACGGTCCCTCCCTGGCCCTGATCGTGCACTGGTGGGGGTCCCTCGGCCTGGCCTGCACCCTCTTGCAATCTGGGACCCCTTGGGGATGTAGGAGAGCCAGTTTTGGCCTGATCCCGCAGGCCATTCCCCTTGGGAGGGTGCCAGAGGCAGGGCCCATGGCTGGCGAGTGCTGCTGTAGTGGCATGAGAGACTGGTTGGGCACGAGCTCACAGAGGCATAATGGGGCCGGGATGAGCGGTCGTTGGACTGCGGGTTTTGGCACAATCCCCACAGGCTACCCAGAGGGACCCCACCCATGCATGAATTTGTGCACCGGGCTTCTAGTAAAAGTAATAATTATAAGTTATTAAATTCAGCATATTATACTTAAGAAAGCACAGAATGCACAATATATTTTAGGGCTATTTTTTTTGTTGTTAATCCTGACCCAAGGATATTTTTTCATTGATTTTTAGAGAGAGAGGAAAGGAGGGAAGGGGAGAGAGAAACATCAATGTGAGAGAGACACATCAATTAGTTGCTTCTGGAATGCTCCAGACTTGGGCTGGGGATAGACCCCACAACCCAGGTTTGTGCCCTTGACCAGAAATTGAACCCATAACTCTTCAGTGCGCAGCTGATGCTCTAACCACTGAGAACACTGGCCAAGGCTATTTTAGGAATATTTTAATCTACTCCAGTCATGAAAAATTTTCAAAAGATTTGGCATGGAAAAGAATAAAGTTTGAATATCTGGAAAATTTGCTTATATGCAACACCTTTCTCTGATGATGCCTGATTAAACAGAACACTATTGCATTAGACATTGTCCTCCCAAACATGAGTTCTGTAAAATATTCCTTTGCAAAGTTTATGCTAAACGATCCCAGAAGAGTATTTTTTTTTATATTTGAAAGAAAAGTTATATCAAAAATGCAATTTCATGGGCAAAAAGGAGAGCCCCAGAGTCACCAATAGCCTGGAAACCAAATACTAACAACCTGGCCAGGATAGTAGTGAGGTGTCCAGTACTGGTTACTCAAGTCTATGTCTTTTCTCTCCTAGCCAAACAACCCCTTCCCATCTAGATCTTATAAAACAGTGCCCCCAAACCTCAAACCCCAAGAAAGTGGGCCTCTGAGAAGTATCAAGAGAGAGTAGGATACCTCACCACGTCCTCGGACACTAGGTAAAGGGCCATGAGTCCTATTTTAAGAATAAAGAAATTGAGAAACCCACACATCTAGTCAGAGGAAAAGGCAGAGACTCAGAAATTCCTGGCTTCAACAAGTACATTTGCTGCTTCTCATCAAGTCCTAAGGTCAACCAAATGGTGACAGATTGAGGCCTTTAAACACTTCAAGGCAGACGACATGTCAACCAGCACCACCTTGTGGAAGAGGATTGATAACTCAGAACGTTTCTTCAACACTTTTGCAGGGTTGCTTTTTCATTCAATAGTGGACTTGGGAGAGCTGATTCTGCATCAGGCGCCTGTGCTGGAGAAGTTGGAAGATTACAAGAAACAGAAATAGATATGCTAAGAGCTGGAAATATTCTGGCCTATGGAATGCTCCAGAAATATGGGGAAAGAGAACTGAAATGGTTTCACATTATCAGCCATTACTGGGATTTAAGTTTATAAAATTAGAAGGCAACCCTAGCTGGTTTGGCTCAGTGGGTAGAGCATCAGCCTGCAGACTGAAGAGTCCCAGGTTCGATTCCAGTCAAGGGCCCATGCCTGGTTGCAGGCTCCATACCCAGTAGAGGGCATGCAGGAGGCAGCCAATCAATGATTTTCTCTCATCATTGATGTTTCTATCTCTCTCTCCCTCTCCTTTCTTTGAAATCAATAAAAATATATTTAATAAAATAAAGTAAAATTAGGAGGCATATATTCTAACAGGACCAATGATAGTATTCATTACATTTAAAAGTAAAGGCCATATTTAAAATATAATCTCATGGGCAAAAAAGGAGAAAAGGTAGAGCTATTTAGAGAAACACTGAGGGTTGGCTCTGCCCATTCTCCTTCATCCATTGGCCATCTGTATTCAGTCCATAGAAAGGAGGCCATGAGAATGTGTTGATGAACAAGTGCTCAGGTATACAAGAACTAATCTTGAAACTTCCTATTGAAAATTGTATTCCAACCCTTGACCCAGAACCAGAAAAACTGTGATAAGGGCCTATAGCTCTCTTCATTGTGGCTGGCAGATTGGGAAAAAAAAATATGTAATTGTTCTGATTTCAAACCACTTCCTTCTTGTCCCAGATATTATTAGAATGGCCTGATTGATATCTGGTTTTGAACTCCCAAGCATATATGTATAATTAGGACTCTTGAGTGCCGATGAGCAAAACCAAGCTGCAACTAGCTTAGTCCAGGAAGAAGGAGTTTATTGGAAGGTTTCTGAGGATATTTTATAGTCAAAGAAATCGTTGAACAACAAACTGTGGAGAGAGGAAAGGTGCCTCTGGACCTCTGAAACAATGGGAACCAGGGGCTGGACGGTACCTGGGCTCTCTTGCCTCATCCTGGTCTGTGTCTGGGTCAGTTTCACTTGTTGTCACAGTGAGCCAGCTTTTCTTTTGCGGTGGGAAACATGACATCCAAATGGCTCTCCTTACAGCTTCTGCCACCTAAGACAGGTTGGACCTGTCCTTCCCTCAGTTTTGATTTTTTAAATTCCACGGAGGGACTGACTCACCAGGCGAAGGTCAGACGCTTATGGATGCTGTGCTGATAATGCTCCAGATGTCCCTACAACTTACAAAACAATGGCATTTTGGAATCACCACTTCATCCTCCCTTGAGACCTCACATTAGGCAGTTTCTCAAACTAGGAACCCTGCTTCATTTTGGAACTCTCTCCCAAATATGTCCTACAGATCCATGACCACCCAGAATTCAACAGGGATGGGTTACTTACCAGGGGAAACCAGAACTGCCTCCAGGTCAGTTGCCGGAGGTCCAATCCACACCCATATTCATATGGGAGAGCAAGATAGTTCTAAACATTGATCCAGAACTGAACAGAATCATAATACTGCATGTTCATAGGGTTAACAAGGCAGAAAGTGTTGTAGCCTGGGGTTTTTCTGCCAGAGGAACACCGGAGGAAGTGGATTTATGCCTTTGCCCAGGTTCCTTGGGTAGTGAGAAGGGTTATCTGTTAGGAGGTTGCAAGGGTTGGATTTGAGAACAGAAAATCTAGGCTTTCCTGTGGATGCATGTCCATCCCCGAGTCAGGTCTCAGGTTTCAAAATCATAGCCTATAAACAGCATGGCCGGCCGTACTTGGAGCTTTGTTCCCCTGCTCTAGAAAGTTGAAACCCCTTTCCCCTCAGACTGTAAGTCTGGAACCAAATTAAGTCCAGCTTGGGTCAAATAATTCTCAAAAGTGACAAGTGGAAACAATGGATTGAACCTTCAGATGGTTGAATTAGTGTGTTCTTGTCCTAGTTTTCAGCTAGTGTGGGCAACTGGCTTGAAAATCAATCTAATACAAGATAGCATTCTAAATTGTGATTATTTGCCAGGGTATAAAAGACTCTTGGTTAATATCAATTTTCTCCTCTTTATCCTATTCAGGTAAAGATTTCTCATTCGGTAATTGCAGTGAACCCAGAAGAAGGGGTGATGGTGAGAGGGGAGAGGTCAATTAAGGAATGATAGGTAAGAGCCCCAAATATGAGTAACTAATTTCACTATCATTGTGAATATTTTATCCAAAAAGTAATAAATGATGATATTTAAATGGCAACTCATGCAAGAATTGAAAAATCATTAATGAAAGGTAGAGACATACCATCTTTGGTGGAAAATACAGTATCATCAAACCAACAGGATAATAAAAATTAACTGAAATAAAACTGAGAGGATTATCAGCAGAAGGGGTCTTTGGTGGAAGTGGGGCAGGTTGCATCACAAGACACTATGAAGCCAACAACTCATCAAAATAAAATGACTGTGATCAAGGTAGATGAAATGGGTGAGATCATAGATTCAAGTATAGATCATATCACCTAATAAGACAATATTTGTGATTGTTACAATTAAATGTTTCACTGTAAGCCCTCGTTTTTTTTTCTATAAAATAGTTGCTTTCTGATATAGAAGAGAAGAATGTTTAATTCATTGGTTGGTGCTAAAACCATATTGCTGATTCAAGCATAAAAAATATCAGCAACCACAAAATAATTTAAAGTCAATTCTCTTTTGTCTTCTTTATTGATTAAGGTATTACATATGTGTCCTTATTCCCCCAATGCCCCACCCTCACCCCACTCCCGTTCATGTCCTTACCCCCCTGTTGTCTGTGTCCATTGGTTATGCGTATATGCATGCATACAAGTCCTTTGGTTGATCTTTCCCCCTTACTCCTCCCTCCCCTACTAAAGTCAATTCTTTGTAGATATAAATTCATAAAGCTTACCACTCTGGTAAAGATGAAGGAACTTGCTTCTTTGGGGCAATGGACACTCACATTTTGACAGAGAACACCCAGAAACTCCACTCCAGTTTCTCTTCATCAGAATTTGGTGTATGCCTAGTGTGGAGAGGATTTCATATTTTAATAACCTTTTAATGTGTCCAATGCAATGATGCTGAGGAGGATATCCAGTGAGACCTGAGAGGAACTGGATGATGGGAAGGCATCTAAAGGGAGCAGAAAAGAGACATACAACCTCAGGAGGATAAACTAGGAATCACTGCATCTACATTATTGGAATTAGGTTCCAAGTTGAAAACTTTTTACTTGTTAATTTTTCATTTACCTATATATGTACTACAAATAATTGTGGTAGACTCTGGAGATACAAGCATATAAAGGCACACCAGCACTTCCTCTGCCCTCTAGGACCCCAAAAGCTCTTATGGAGGATCAACTTATTTCACTCTTACGTTTGTCAAGGCTCATTTGATTGCCAGAATAGAAATGCACACAAGTCTCCTAAACAAGCAGAATTAGTAGGATTAGAGTTTTGAAAATGTGAGGATCCAAAAATCTCTCTCTCTCTTCTAGATCCTACTCTTTTGTTTACAGAGTAAATCTTAATTGATTTCTTGATATTCGAGTTTCAGCTTTTGAAACTATTAGACTTCATAGTTGTAGCACCCTCTGATGATAGTCTTTTGGAGCCCAAATTCCAAATCAATAGGAAACTCTGATGAACACAATTTAAGCCAGGTATCAACTTATGCTTTCAACAAATATCTATTGAGCACCACAGAGGACAATACACCATTCATAACCCATACATCTACGTTTAGGATTGGAATGGGGTGGAATGCAGCACAGACAATGAAGAGTTAATTTTATAATAGACATTCAGGATGATAGGTGTCATGAAGAAGAATAAAGATAGGTAGGAGGTAAAGAATTAAAAGGAGGTGCTATTTTAGAAAGAGACTCTGACAGAGTCTCTGGGGAGGTTGATGAGAGGCCCTAAGGAAGTGAGAGAGCAAGCCCTGAGAATAGGTGGTGGAAGAGCCTTCTAGTGAAGGACAGGCAAGTGCAGAAGCACTGAGATGGGCCCAGAAAGAAGACCCCTGAGACTGAAGCACAACAAGCAAAAGGAAGAGTGGCCCACAAAGAGGTCCAAGATGGAACCAGGACACATCTGTCTAGTTGGTGTTCAAGACTTGGGGAACTATTAGAAGGAATTAAGCAGGAGAGTGCCATAACCTATTATTATTATTATTATTATTATTATTATTATTATTATTCAGTGAAGTTTGCTCAAGGTCACCCCAGCCAGGAAGTGGCAGACCCAGGATTCAATTCCGAGGCCATCTAGCTACAGAACCCAAGCTCTTCACACCATGTGATTCCCTCTCATTATGATGCAAGATCTCCTAGTAAGCTTTCCATGAAGGTTTTCAGATTTAAGGTTCATCAATGCTTCCAAAGGCATTGGACTTGCACCTTGAATACAGTGATAGAAATATAGCAGTTGGAGCCTCTTTTATACTTAAAGGACACATGCATCTTTGCTTTGACAACTCCACTCATTTAGTTCCCCACTGAAAGTCCTTGTTTCAGCTGCCACATATCTATAGAACTATTCAGAATAGATTTTACTCCATCCCCTACTGCTCAGACATCTTCACTCTACCTACTGAAAACAGCATGTGGATTACCCTTTTTAAGCAAGAGGGGAAAAAAGATAGTTAACCAGGATCATACAGCAAGGTAGCAACTATTCTGACAACAGCAATCCAGAAAGAATGTGAGAAAATTTGCAAGTGGATGCCTTCTCTAAGGATACCCCACTTCCAGGAATTTCTCTGTAGAGAACATGAAAATTGGAACCCAATTTCTTTAGAATTGAGTAGTTTTCAAAGTCTATGTGCTTTGTTAAAAAAAAAAATCTGTGGTACATCTACACAATAGAATACTATGCTGTGGTAAAAAAGACGGAGTTCTTACCATTTGCAACAGCATGGGTGGAACTGGAGAGCATTATGCTAAGTGAAATAAGCCAGTCAGAGAAAGATAAATATCACAGGATCTCACTCATTTATGGAATATAATGAACAACATAAACTGATAAACAAAAACAGATACAGAGACAGAGAAGCATCGATCAGACCATCAAAACTCAGAGGGAAAGTAGAGGAGGATGGGGGTAAAGGGGAAAGATCAACAAAAGCACTTGTATGCATGCATATAAGCCTAACCAATGAACACAGACAACAGGGGGGCGAGGGCACGAGTAGGGGGTGGTAGAGGGTAATGTGGGGATAAGGACACATATGTAATAACTTAATCAATAAAGAAATTTTAAAAAAGAGTGAATGGTGCATGCTCAGCATAAAAGATTGCATAGAGAAAAAAGCAGAGCACACAAGATGCTAGTTCTTTTCTTCAAATTATAGGATAACCTTGATGGACTAATTCTAATGGACCAGGGCCTTAATTTACTTAAATTGCTGCCCTGTGTCTGCCCTGTTTGTGTGAAGATGAATCAGATAATGCAGCAACAACTTTATTATAAATAACCTCATACCTAGGTGCCAAATAATACATGGCAGGATGTCTCTCTCACACATACATAGATTTAACCCAATCTGTTTGTGGCAACAGGACTGATAAATATCAGTTCTAAATGGTTAGAACAGATATTTAATTAGCTTCATTCATTCATTCATTCATTCATCCATCCAATAAATATTGTTTAAGTGCCAACTACATTCCAGGCACTATTCTAGGCCCTGGAAAAACAACTCTGGGAATAAGAAAGATCTTTTTCTCATGAAGCTTATATTCCAAGGGAGGTAGTCAAAAAGTAAACAAATAAATATGTAATTTATCAATTAGTGATAAATGCTGTGAGGAAAAAAGTAAAGCAGTGCAAATGTGATAGAATGAAAGGAGATTGAGAAGTAAATTCTTTTTATCAAGTGTGGTCACAAGAGGTCTCTCTGGTTAGGTGACATTTGAGCCAAAATATGGCCAAAACATGATCAGAGAAAATGATGCTTTTAATGACCATATTTTGCTGAGCCACAGAAGAAGATGGGGCCATTTTAGGAATTGTTTCAACAAGATTTTGAAAGAAAACATTAACCCTTAGTTAATTAGAAAATCCAACTGACCAGAATTCTTTCTAACCCTTTTTCATAAGCATTGAAGTGATAGGAAGACACTGATATATACATTAAGCATTCTTATTATTCCACTAGATGCCCAGTGCACGAAATTCATGCACTGAGGTGGGCGGGGGTGGGGGTGGGGGTTTGTCCCTCAGCCCAGCCTGTACCCTCTCCAGTCTGGGACATCCCTCTCACAATCTGGGACTGCTGACTCCCAACCGCTTGCCTGCCTGCCTGCTTGACTGCCCCTAACCGCTTCTGCCTGCCAGCCTGATCACCCCCTAACCACTCTCCTGCCAGCCTGATTGACGCCTAACTGCTCCTCCGTCAGCCCAATTGCCCCAAACTGCCCTCCCCTGCAGACCTGGTCCCCCCCATTGGCCTCCTCTGTAAGCCCGGTCGCCCCCAACTGCCCTCCCCTGCTGGGCTGTTCACCCCCAACTGCCCTCCCCTGCCAGCCATCTTGTGACAACATGGGGGCAGCCATCTTGTGATGACATGGGCGTGGCCATCTTCTGACCACATGGGCGTGGCCATCTTGTGACCACATGGGGGCAGCCATATTGTGCGAGGGCGTGATGGTCAATTTGCATATTATCTCTTTATTATGTAGGATAATAATAATATTATCCATAGATAATATATCTTTAGTGGAAAAAGAACAATTTTCAAAATCATTGAAGGGACTGTGTAACTGGTGAATTCTACTAAGAATCCCAACTTCATCTCTTAGTGATTTTGAGTCAATTGGTGAACCTACCCAGGTTTCTTTCACTTTTTCTCTGGAAAAATGATAATAATACCTGCCCTTTGAACTGCTTGTGAGGGTGAAATCAGATGCTATATGTAATATCTGGGCATCTAAGATATGCCTAAGAACAGCTTAATCTTATTACCCCAAGGTCCTTAGAAAATTACCAATCCATGAAGAGTGTCACAAAACAATGCAATATACAGAAAATTTTATTTAGTTTCCCAGAAACAGAATTGTAAAATTTATGATGTCCAGGAAACCAGTGGCTTAAATGCACTTAAGATTTATTGACATGATTATTTTACTACATTGTT